ACAGCTACAACTGTATATGCATTCGCACATCAAGTCTTCTCTTGAGTTGGGTGATGGAACAACTGTTGAACATCTGAGCTTGTGGTTGTTTGTGGGGGAAAGGTGGGGAGAGTGTGTGTATGTATCCCACAGATGTTGCTAAGGGGTAATGATGTTCGGGACAGTATAGGATGAATCTCAATAATTGTTTCCCAAAGTAATAATTGCTTGCCCCAATAACATTTTTGTTATAATGCCAGTCCTTCGTATGAAGTGCATTCAGTATTACGCATATTATGAAAGTGTATGCACTCACTAACTGTAAGTTGCTCTAGATAAGAGCGTCTGCTAAATGACTAAAATGTAAATGTAATTATTTGTTAATTGTGGAAATAAATTAAGAAATGCAATATTTTTTATACATATGTGCCTTCGGAAAGTATTCAGACCCCTTGACTTTTTCCACATTTTGTTACTTTACAGCCTTATTCTAAAATTGATTACATAATTTTTTCTCCTCATCAATCTACAATAAAGGCCTGATTGGTGGAGTGCTGCAGAGATGGTTGTCCTTCTGGAAGGTTCTTCCATCTCCACAAAAGAACTCTGGAGCTCTGTCAGAGTGACCATTGGGTTCTTGGTCACCTCCCTGACCAAGGCCCTTCTCCCACGATTGCTCAGTTTGGCTGGGCGGCCAGCTCTAGGAATAGTCTTGGTGGTCCCAAACTTCTTCCATTTAAGATTGATGGAGGCCACTGTGTTCTTGTGGACCTTCAATGCTGCAGAAATGTTTTGGCATCCTTCCCCAGATCTGTGCCTCGACACAATCCTGTCTCGGAGCTCTACGGACAATTCCTTCAACCTCATGGCTTGGTTATTGCTCTGATATGCATTTTCAACTGTGGGACCTCATATAGACAGGTGTGTGCCTTTCGAAATCATGTCCAATCAATTGAATTTACCACAGGTGGACTCCAATCAAGTTTTAGAAACATCTCAAGGATGATCAATGGAAACAGAATGCAACTGAGCTCAATTTCAAGTCTCATAGCAAAGGGTCTAAATACTTATGTAAATGTATTTCATTTGTTAGTTTTGAATACATTTGTAAAAAAAAAAAAAAAAAATGTTTAATGAGTTGGACCGCAGAGTGAAGGAAAGGCAGCCAATAAGTGCTCAGCATATGTGGGAACTCCTTCAAGACTGTTGGAAAAGCATTCCAGGTGAAGCCGGTTGAGAGAATGCCAAGATTGTGCCAAGCTGTCATCAAGGCAAAGGGTGGCTATTTGAATAATCTCAAATATAATATATATTTTGATTTGTTTAACACTTGTTTGGTTACTACATGATTCCATATGTGTTATTTCATAGTTTTGATGTCTTCATTATTATTGTACAATGTAGAAAATAGTAAAAAATAAAGAAAGAAAAACCCTGGAATGAGTAGGTGTGTCCAAACCTTTGACTTGTTCTGTATATACAATGAGGGGAAAAAAGTATTTGATCCCCTGCTGATTTTGTGCGTTTGACCACTGACAAAGACAATATCAGTCTATAATTTTAATGGTAGGTTTAGTTGAACAGTGAGAGACAGAATAACAAGAGAAAAATCCAGAAAAATGCATGTCAAAATGTTATAAATTGATTTGCATTTAAATGAGGGAAATAAGTATTTGACCCCTCTGCAAAACATGACTTAGTACTTAGTGGCAAAACCCTTGTTGGTAATCACAGAGGTCAGACGTTTCTTGTAGTTGGCCACCAGGTTTGCACACATCTCAGGAGGGATTTTGTTCCACTCCTCTTTGCAGATCTTCTCCAAGTCATTAAGGTTTCGAGGCTGACGTTTGGCAACTCGAACCTTCAACTCCCTCCACAGATTTTCTATGGGACTAAGGTCTGGAGACTAGCTAGGCCACTCCAGGACCTTAATGTGCTTCTTCTTGAGCCACTCCTTTGTTGCCTTGGCCGTGTGTTTTGGGTCATTGTCATGCTGGAATACCCATCCACGACCCATTTTCAATGCCCTGGCGGGAAGGAGGTTCTCACCCAAGATTTGACGGTACATGGCCCCGTCCATCGTCCCTTTGATGCGGTGAAGTTGTCCTGTCCCCTTAGCAGAAAAACACCCCCAAAGCATAATGTTTCCACCTCCATGTTTGACGGTGGGGATGGTGTTCTTGGGGTCATAGGCAGCATTCCTCCTCCTCCAAACACGGCGAGTTGAGTTAATGCCAAAGAGCTCGATTTTGGTCTCATCTGATCACAACACTTTCACCCAGTTCTCCTCTGAATCATTCAGATGTTCATTTGCAAACTTCAGACGGGCATGTATATGTGCTTTCTTGAGCAGGGGGACCTTGCGGGCGCTGCAGGATTTCAGTCCTTCACGGCGTAGTGTGTTACCAATTGTTTTCTTGGTGACTATGGTCCCAGCTGCCTTGAGATCATTCACAAGATCCTCCCGTGTAGTTCTGGGCTGATTCCTCACTGTTCTCATGATCATTGCAACTCCACGAGGTGAGATCTTGCATGGAGCCCCAGGCCGAGGGAGATTGACAGTTCTTTTGTGTTTCTTCCATTTGCGAATAATCGCACCAACTGTTGTCACCTTCTCACCAAGCTGCTTGGCGATGGTCTTGTAGCCCATTCCAGCCTTGTGTAGTTCTACAATCTTGTCCCTGACATCCTTGGAGAGCTCTATGGTCTTGGCCATGGTGGAGAGTTTGGAATCATATTGATTGATTGCTTCTGTGGACAGGTGTCTTTTATACAGGTAACAAACTGAGATTAGGAGCACTCCCTTTAAGAGTGTGCTCCTAATCTCAGCTCGTTACCTGTATAAAAGACACCTGGGAGCCAGAAATCTTTCTGATTGAGAGGGGTCAAATACTTATTTCCCTCATTAAAATGCAAATCAATTTATAACATTTTTGACATGCGTTTTTCTGCATTTTTTTGTTCTTATTCTGTCTCTCACTGTTCAAATAAACCTACCATTAAAATTATAGACTGATCATTTCTTTGTCAGTGGGCAAACGTACAAAATCAGCAGGGGATCAAATACTTTTTTCCCTCACTGTATATGGGGGTTGGAAATGATGCAGACAATTACATTGAAAGAAGACACAATCTATTTGCAATATTAAAGCTGATCCACTCCCTACATTTTTTTAAATAAATAGTGCGAGCCAACTAATGGTGTTGACACTCCTCATCTATCAAGTCAACTGGAGCACTGGGCCACTCTTAAATATCACATGGGCAAGCACAGGTGAAACACCTTCCGACTAACGAGATGGACAAGCCAGCACTGGTGTAACACACACTGACTAACGAGGTGACACCAATCGGTGCGCCCAACCTGCTAAAGAGATATACTTGCTAAAGTCCAACCTTAAAACATAAATTTGAAAAACCAAAGCCTGTAACTCTGACTCTTTCTCTTCTCTTGTATTCCAGATTGCGGAGACTTCAAATGCGTTCCTGAATCGAATGTTGAACAGGGACACCATCACAAGAATAACATATAAAAGTAAGTAGAAATGCACATATATACTATAACGGAAAACACAGTGGAAAGTCAAAGAGTAGCTAGAGAGTCTGCAGTAGACAGTTCCTTCCTCCAGAGGGTTACCAGGCAGAGACAACTAGGGCTGCTAGATAGCCATATTGGAATGGCTGCTGAGATCGCCCGGGGCAATGGTTAAGAAGAGAGGTCCATAATTGGATTAATGGGATTGAGAAGAGGCTGAATAATCACAGGGACCCCCAGTGGATTGGAGGTCTCAGAGGCATCAGCGAGCTGTCATAAACTCACACATACATACACACACACACACACACACACACACTGCCCCCTCAACCCCAGGAGTCCTCCGGCATACCCTTCTCTCAGCCTGCAGCTCTACTTGCCCAGGCCATGTATTTTTCAAAACCCTCTCCACGCACCCACACACATGCACACCCACACACACAGCATCCGAATGGAATTATTAATGCCTACGCGGCTATCAGAGATGTGTGATAGTGGAGCGGGAGTAACAGGACTGCAGGGGCAGGTTTAGTGAGGTGGTAATGGAATAGAACATGATTGATGTTCACAGATTAAGGATAGGCTTTTTTGTTTTTCTTTACCTTTCAGGCTGTCTATATCTTACCTGTAGGGTAGAGGCTGGTGAGCATGCTGATGTTTATGTTGTTCTAGTCTAGATAAATACGCTGTGTGAATGTGAATAGCATCTAAAGGCCCAGTGCCAGTCTACATTAGCCAAGAGGTAGCAGCTACTGTGACATCGTCACAACAAACAAAGTGCAGTTGGCTCCCATTTATTATAAACTGAAACCACAACAGATGACAACATATTGAGAGTGTGTTAGCGGAGTGTGGAGAGAGAGAGAGAGAGAGAGAGAGAGGGAGAGACCAAGGGAGAGATGGAGAGAGATGGAAAGAGAGAGAGAATGATGGAGAGAGGGATGGACAGACAGAGAGGGAGAGAGAGAGAGAGATGCAGTAATTCTAATTACATTCCTGATGAGGGAAGTACTTTGCATAAAAGGGGTTTGTGATGCAGTCTGCTATACCAACTGACTGTCAAGCAGTTGTAGGGAACCTAGCTCAATTTGAAATGAGCGATCTGCAAAACTTGTACATGCAAATGACGAACATACTGGTTAGAGTGGATGTAATGTAATACGTTTTGAAACTGGATGACAAACATGTAATGTAAATTCAAAACAAAATGTAGCTTGAGAGGACATGAAATGTGATTGATCCAAGTCTACAATACAGTGTTCTACAATGCTGGAACTAGGGACCCACGGGAGGTGCAGGGTTTTCTTCCAGCCTAGCACAAACACATCTAATTCAACTAAGAAGTGCTTGGGTTGGACCTGAGCTAGGACACAAGCATGCTCACCCTGTAGCTCTCCAGGCCCAGGACTGAAGAAATCTGCTATAATGACATATTAAGATGTTTTATTGAATTCTAACCTGTCTATCTTGCCCATATTCTCCAGATGATGCGTATCTACTGACGGGCCTGAACATCGAGGAGATTTACCCAGAAACCTCTAGTTTTATCACGTACGATGGGTCCATGACCATCCCGCCGTGCTTTGAGACGGCCACGTGGATCCTGATGAACAAGCCAGTGTACATCACACGGATGCAGGTCCGTCTCTAAAGTAGCTCCTTACTGCTTAGATACACTCTTAGAAAAAAGGGTTCCAAAAGTGTTATTTGCGGAGGCATAGGATTCTACCAATATCTGTTTTCATCTGAATAACCCTTTTTAGAAGACAAGGGTTCTTTATAAGGCAAAGGGTTCTACCTAGAACCTATTTCATCCTAAGAACCATTTTTCAAATAAAGGGTTCTTTGATAATTCTTTGTAAGGAAAAAATGATTATTTGGAAGGCAAGAAGGGTTCTACATAAAACCCTTCTGAATCTGAATAAGCTGTTATTGTATTTTTCTTTCTCTGCCTTGGCATTAGTGTTTACCTCAGTGTTTAAACTTTTACATCAGGAGTTTGAGTAATCTGATACATTTAAAAAGATAGATGTGAGAATGTTTTAAACTGTACCTATGGGAATATTTCTACAAAATCTGGTATTCCAATTTTACATATACAGTACTGACAGTTGATATCTTTGCCATCATTTCTTTCTTTCAAATAAGTATTTTCTGTGATTTTATTGAGCAGAGAGTACGAGAATAGAAGGGAGTCTGAGTGAACCAGCAGTGTATTGTATTGTGCACAGCAAATTAGCCCCTTGGCCAGTGTTGCCTAGTGTTGATTTGTCAGTCTAACATTTCTAGTATTTATTCAGGAGTTGAATTAACTCTGTAAGGTGGTGTAAAATAACCCCAGTGTTGGTGTTAATAACCAGAGTTGAGTGTAATTGTGTCATTTTTACTCTGTAGAGTAAAACACTCAAAACCACGCCCATCATTATCATTTTCTCCCAGCATGCTTTATTGCAGGTTGGTTTTCAGAATTGTTTGTTTCAATATGTGTTTTTGCATGTACATTGATTGGTTGATTAATCTTATGCTACACAAAGATAAATAACATACATTTTTCTAAACTAATCCAATCTGTTAGTAGTTGGACTTATTGCACCCGTTACTGAGATGGTTGTTCCAGTTTAGATGATTTAGGTAGTCTCTGTTAGCAATCTTCTCTACCCTAGCAGTCATTCTGAATGCAGGTTGCGGGTAATTAAACCTTTAAATTGTTGGATATCCTCACTCCGGTTGGATTCCAATAGGAATTACACAACACTTTGCAAGCCAGCATAATGTGACTTGCAGGCCTGATGTGGCCTGTAAACCAGGAGTTTCCAACCACTGTGTTAGGGTATAACAGGCCTTGAAAGAAAGACCTTATGATATATGTAATGTATTGTCATAAAAAATATGCAAATGCGGTTCAAGTTTTAATGTCACATACACAAACAAGTACTGTGAAATGCCAATTTCTTACAAGCTCAACAATGCAGAAATCAATATCAACGTAGTACTACAAATAACATAAGGTAGAACAAAAACACAAATAAAATAACAAATAAGAAGAACACGACAAAGTAAGAAGTTATATACAGGGTCAGTTTCAATACCATATTTACAATGTGGAGGGATACTGGAGTGATAGAGGTAGATATGTATAGGGGTAAGGTTACTAGGCATCAGGATGTATGATAAACAGAGGAGCAACAGCGTAAATGTAGATTCTATATGAGTGTGTGTGTAGAGTCAGTATAAATGTGTGTGCATGTTATGTGTGTGTTGGAGTGTCAGTGTTCATGAGTGTGTAGAGTGCTGTGAGTGTGCATAGAGACTTTTAAATAAATACAAGGGTCAACTCAGATAGTCCTTGTAGCCATTTTGTTAACTATTTAGCAGTCTTATGGCTTGGGGATAGAAGCATGTTCAGCAGCCTGTTGGTGTCATTCTTGTTACACCGGTACCGCTTGACATGTGAAAGCAGAGAGAATAGTCTATGGCTTGGGTGGCTGGAGTCTTTAACGATTTTCCGGGCCTTCCTTTCACACCACCTGATATAGAGGTCCTGGATGGCAGGGAGCTCAGCCCCAGTGATGAGGGTACACGTGGTGGAGGAGATGTCTACTCTCACTACCTGGGTTCGGCCAGTCATGAAGTCCAGGATCCAGTTGCAGAGGGAGGTGTTCAGTCCCATGATCCTAAGCTTGGTGACGAGCTTGGAGGAGACAATGGTGCTGAACGCTGAGCTGCAGTCAATGAACAGCCTTCTCACATAGGTATTCCTCTGATCTAGGTGGGTGAGGGCAGTGTGGAGTGCAATTGAGATTGCGTCGTCTATGGATCTGTTTGGGCGGTATGCAAATTGGAGTGGGTCTGGGATGATGGAGTTGATGTGTGCCATAACCAGCCTGATTACAGATATGAGCGCTACAGGGCGGTAGTCATTGTGGCATGTAGCCTTAGAGTTCTTGGGAACAGGAATGATGGTAGTCATCTTAAAACATGTGGGAATTACAGACTGGGACAAGGACAGGCTGATCTCCGCATGCTCTGAGAACGCGCCCCGGAATACCGTCCAGCCCCGCCTTGCGAGTGTTGATCTGATTAAAGACCTTACTCACGTCAGCCTCTGGGAGCGAGATCACCCAGTACTCTGCTTTCGGTGGGAGCCCTCACGCATGGTATGGTGGTGGTGGTGTTGTTGTCGAAGCGTGCATAAAATGCGCTGAGTTCGTCTGTTAGAGAGGCATCATTGGGCTGGGTCTTCCTTTGTAATCCATAATGGACTGTCGCCCCTGCCACATGTGACGGGCATCGGAGCCTGTGTAATATGATTCCACTTTTGCTCGTTTGATGACTCAGCAGAGGTCGTAGCGGGACTTCTTGTACTTGTTCCTGTCCTCAGCCGTTGTCTGCGATGGTCCTGTGTGTGGTAGCCCTGCGCTTTAGGTTAACGCCAACCTCGCCATTAATCCAGGGCTTTTGATTGGAGAAGAAGCGAACCTTCACTGTGGGGTCAACATCGCCAATTTCCTTATGAAGCCGGGATAGAGGTGGTTAGCTCGTCGATGTTAACGGCGGAGTCTCGGAGCATATTCCAATCAGCATGAGCAAAGCAGTCCTGTAGTATAATCTCTGATTCTGATGACCATTTCTCAAGGGAACGAGTCATGGGTACTCCCTGTTTGAGCTACTGCTTGTAAACAGGAAGCAGAAGTACGGAGTCATGACCTGATTTTCTGATTGGCGGACAAGGGAGGACCTTGTATGCTTGCTTGTGGGTAGAGTAACAGTGGTCTAGGACTCTATTGCCAATAGTGGCGAAGGAGACGTGTTGATGGAAGTTGGGCATCACGTGTCTTAATGACACAGAATTAAAATCGCTGGCGACAAGGAAGGCAGCCTCCGGATGTAAGTTTTCCTGCTTGTTATAGCCTCTTACAGTTCGTTAAGTGCCAGCTTGTTATATTTCTTATCCTGAGGTGGAATGTATAGTCAGGAATAAGACTAGTAGAACCGTTCATGGAGGGTTCTAGGATGGAACCTTTCAAAGATAAAAGGGCTCCTGGTAGAATCCTTCATGGAGAGTTCTAAGAACCCTTCATAGAGGATTCTAGGTAGAACCCTCTGCAAAGGGTTCTACCTAACACTAAAAAGGGTTCCGCTATATGGTTCTACTTAGCAACTTTTTTTCTAAGAGTGTACATAAGCCTCTCGTACAGCAATTCTGTTCCTCCACATAGATTTTTCTCCCATTCATACTGAAATAATGTGCCTTTTCTTCACTTCTGTTCTCCTCTCATCTCATCTTTTTATTTCTCCTCTGCTCTGCTCTACTCTGCTTTGCTCTCCGCTCCTCTTGTTCCTTCCATTACTTTACATACTCTTCCTTTCCGCCTCTTTTTGTTAATGAATCCCCCTTCACTCTCTTCTCCAGATGCACTCCTTACGGCTGTTGAGTCAGAACCAGCCGTCTCAGATCTTCCTGAGTATGAGCGACAACGTTCGCCCGGTTCAACCGCTGAACAACCGCTGCATCCGGACTAACATCAACTTCAGCATGCAGGGCAAAGACTGTCCCAACAACAGGGCCCAGAAGCTCCAGTACCGAGGTGAACACAGCTCCAATCCACCCACCACCGCCATTTGTTAGCACCAAGTGTTTAGGTCTGACTAGCAGATATATACAAAATGGCGGTGAAGGAGTCATGGACATTTACCTTGGTCGTTTTGTTTATGTCTGCTTGTGGCCCTCATAAAGGTATTAAATACCAAAAGCATAGTCTTAAGCCTTAACTTTTATAGATTTTAAAGAGTGAATGTATATTACTTATAGTGATATTATAGCAATATTTCCAACACAAGTGTTGGAATGGCTGAGTGTGTGAGCCCTACTTCATAACTACAAAGCCAGCTCAGCATCTGTGTTATTCAGGGACTCTGCATGCAGTCTGTTTACCATCTCCTCTCCTCTGTTTCAGCCAATATATCTGGGCAACTGCTGCACAAAATGTGAATTTTACCCCTGAAGCGTAAATACAGTGAGGGCAAGAGGTAACCCCCATTATTCATTGTATTATTTTTTTCAGGATTTACTGTACTGTAGCCAGACTGTTCTTTTCTCTTATCCTCTCGCTCTCAGATGAAATTCTTATTCTGTGCAGCAGTTGTTGAGAGATTGAAACACACACACACACAAATGTGAGTACACACACACACTTTTACTCACACACATTTACCCACATACACCCCCAGAGAGTAAACAGAAGCAGTACAATAGCAGCAGGGCTGTCTTTAATTACACTAGTTGTACTTGTTTAAAGATGTAAGTATCTCCAAGGTGAGGCAGAGGGGGAATAAAGTATAATTTAAAGGGGAAATGGATCTAATATGTTATTCATCTAAGGTTAAACCTTGAAGGCAGAGGAATCTCAGCCCCCTCACAGCTAGGTCAGTGGGCTAATTGAATGGGAAATGTGTATTGGGATGCTAGCAGAATGCTAACATATACTGCATAATTGCTGTTATTTAGCATACATTGCTAATTTGAACACAAGATAATAAGAATTTGGTTTGCTTATATTTGTTCTAATTCACACAGGTTATTTTTATATTTTTTTGCATATTCCAACTCTCCCTGAGACCAGAGTCACATGGACACCACTAAACTGGATCTCTGTGGTGCTGGGAATAAATAAATAAAACACTACTTCACCATTTAATAATAGAAATGACACTTTTTACCTAGACGCACGACATGTTCAGTTGCCAATGTTTCATGGTCAAGGTTACTTCATTTACTTTAAATGCATAATTGTGTCTTCCGGTAGAGTATACTATTTAACTGATAATAATCCATTCATGTTCAATGTATTCTGGTCTCAATCCTAACAATGTATTGTCATGTTATGATTATAGAAGCTGCTGGGGTTTTTAACCAGGATAGAAAGGTTTCCATGCTAGATGTGAATGTTGTGTAAAGTGCATATAAAGTAGTGTTCTTCTCACACTGTCCCTCTCCTCTCTTCCAGTGAATGAGTGGCTGCTAAAGTAGTCTCCCTTGGATGAGCACAGAAACAAGAGTCAAAGACAGACAGAAAGAGAGCGGGGGGATGAGAGAGAGAAGAAAACAACTGGAGTCTGACCAAGGCTGCATCTCATCTAAGATTATTTCATGGAATTGTAAAAATAGAAAAAATAATCTCAACATTACCAAGTAAAATACTTTGCGTAGCTTTGCAAAGAGACTACTTTTCATACGTACATCGACAACTATTTGAAATCCAACACATGCTAACTAACACGTCCAGTACAAATATCTATTACGAAAACCGTTTTGATACTGATACTTTTTTGGGGGATAAAATATAATGTTGAAAACGTACAAAAACACGGAAGCATTCTTCTTCAAATGGACTAAGTGGGACTTTTAGCCTTTGTACATAGACACCTTGCTACCAATGGGATCTTAAGGACTTAAGACACTGCCCTTAGTGGTGCAGACAGAGAAGGTATGCAAGGCTCATAGCTGCATCGTCATCACAGTCACGTACAAGGCATGCCGACTGCAACAACCCAAGAGAGCGAGACCTTACATTCTTGCCTTGTAACAGTAGGTCATTACAAAAGGAAAAATGGGAAAGGAGCTTCTGTCTAAGTGATGAACCGATGAGTGTCTTGGCCTTTGTTGTACATAGTATAATTATCAGTATTGCTGAAAAACTGAATATGTAAAGAAAATACAAATAAACATGTAAAAATATATTAAGAAAAAAAAAAGACAAAACTTGAGTATTTTAAACGCTTGGCTTTGAATTCTGGAAGCAGTTCTGAGCTGAAGCCTTTTCTTTCAGTTTTATTGTTTACAATGGTCATACACTGTGTTTGAGTAACGTTATCAGCCCAATAAATGTGTCTGGAAAGTTCACTTTGGAAAATATGCTTAACTTTACACTGTTGTTTCTATGTGCTTATTACACTGTTGTTTCTATGTATCGGGCTTTGTGCCAAGTTATTCAATGACGTTAACGTGGATATGCTGTGCACATTGGTGAGCAAGCAGACCGGTGTCAACTACAGCAAGAAGCTATATGTCCTCCTCCCTCCTTGTTGATGCTGTGCGTGCTGTGAGTATCTAATTTCTGTCTGTCTCACACAAGGTACCAGCCACCTAAAAATCAAGCTAGTACATAGGAAATGATATAGTGATATGTAAAACAGATTGACCATGCCTTAGAAAGGGTGATGCTGAAAGGTTTTATTCAAAGAGATAGGCATGGAAGCATTGAGGGATAATCAGGATGCAACAATTCCACCAATTCTTTCAATATTCCCTCAGAGTATTGAGACTAATTTTACCTGTACATGCAACACTATCCTGTCTGTGTTCTTAGATAAACAGTCGGTTGTGAGTTAGTAACGGGATTGAACTGTTTGTTTGTGGATAAACCTTTAGTGGGTGCCTCAATGGTTAGTAGCTTAAGACTAGTTACATACAGAAAACAATAGTGAAAATGCAATTGTAGAATCAACCTGACAATAACTTTGTTACAATTGAAAATGGCAACCAAAGATAATGTCATTGCCATTATATCACTTTTTATCCTCAAACAACTCAAAGGAGTTTGCGTGCGATAATAGAAAATAAAATCAGAGTATGTTGGCAAAATCCCTTTGCGCTCTCACTCTGTGTGGATAGTGTTGGACTCCTCTGTCATCTTAGGCTACTCCACCTGTAGCAAATCACACGGAGACAAAGGTACAGCCACTCACACTTGATGTCATCGAAGCCCTCAGCCCCTGTAGAGGACAATGTCCTTGTTAGTCTCAGTGGAAGACAACAGAAGAATAACTACAGCACTTCACTGAATGAGACAGATAGGAAAAGTACAGAAACCAATATGTTACTGTGAAGTTTGACGGTTTACACACTCACTGCTTATTATGTATTTGTCAGTCCTTAATACAGGGTCCCTATGCTTTAGGCCAGGATTCAATCTGAACTGCTTTGTAGCACGCTTGACGATTAAAGGTGATTTACAATTGCACAGACAGCTGCAGCGTTTACCTTGAATGCAATCTCTGTGAATGCTGGAACATTGCCTTTAATTAAAATACGCATTTGTTCACACCGCTCTAAGGATAGAATCCCGGCCTAAGTGTCACCATGCAAGAACAAGTTTGCAATACTGACCTACCTGAGAGTTCAGTGCCTCACAGTCTTCTCCCCACTGCTGAGCGTTGGCACTTTTGGACCAGAACCATTCCACAGATTATCCATCAGTCCACATAAATGTCCCTTCCTGTCAGGAAGAACAGTTCAAAGTTATCAACTTCTTCTTGGAGGGCAGTAGTAACGTATCTAATGTCCAAATCAAAGAGATATGAAACAAGACATATCTGAGGAAGTGCTATTTGAGTGTGAAGGTTTGTTTTACCTGTGCCAGATTATTCAGTCCTAGCCAGGCATAAACAGAGATGCTCTGGGTCTGCTTTACCATGGAAAGGAGAAGCTGGTATTCTTCAATTCTGTGGACAGAAGCCAGGGTACCGCCATCTCACTTGCAGTAATTCTAAATAAAGAAACATCCATATTTTCATAGATTTTGTACAAGCTTTGACTATATAGAAATGTGATCAGTAGTGGTAATAAAAAGCAGGTCATTCTAAATGGAAGACCAACTTTGTTATTTTCAATTGTTGATTTGATGCACTGCAAGTGAGACACTTACCAATGCTTGCTGCCATCCCATTTGTTTCCGCACCAAATCGGTAGCAATGGGGTATCTTGCTATCATGTCCAGTATACATTTTTTAGTCATTTAGCAGACGCTCTTATCCAGAGCGACTTACAGTTAGTGAGAGTATACATTTTCATACTGGACCCCCATGGGAATCAAACCCACAACCCTGCCGTTGCAAATGCCATGCACTACCAACTGAGCTACACGGGACTACCCACTTGGACAGATATCTGGAGAGAAAAAAAAACACATATTTTAAATCCCTAGCTCGACACAACTAACAGATTAGAACAGAGTTGAAAATACTGTCTGACAACTCAAAATAAACTGGATTCAAATGGGATTGACCATTAGGGTGTCACAACGATGATCGTGGGGGATTTTGGTGGACTCCAGTTCCCAGAAGGGTGAGAAGGACAGCCAAGAACAGACACAGTCATGACTCCCATGATGGATAGAAGATGGTGGTGGTCCTTTGGACTTCTCTTGCAGTTCTTCCTATAAACACAATTACACCAAAAAGTGTATTACTCAGAAAAATGCACAGCGTTACATGGGTCCCAATATGCCTGGCGAAAACTAAACACTGCATTCCACTGTAAGAACCTTATACCAATGGTCAATAATGGTGGTGATAGTGTGATGGTTTGGGGATACTTTGCTGCTTCAGGACCTGAAGGCCTTGCCTTAATAGAAGGAACCATGAATTCTGCTCTGTATCAGAGGTTTCTACAGGAGAATGTCAGGCCATCCATCTGTGAGCTGAAGCTGAAGCGCAGCTGGGTCATGCAGCAAGACAATGATCCAAAACAAACACTCAAGTCTACATGAAATTGGTTAAAAAGCAACACATTTGAAGTTTTGGAATGGCCTAGTCAAAGTTCAGGCCTAATCCCAATTGAGATGTGGCAGGACTTGAAATGAGCAGTTCATGCTTGAAAACCAACAAATGTCGCTGTGTTAAAGCAGTTCTGCCTGGAAGAGTGGGCCAAAATCCCTCGCCAGCGACATAAGACTGATCAACAACTACAGGAAGCGTTTGGTTGGAGTCATTGCAGCTAAAGGTGGCACAACCAGTTGTTGAGTGTAAGGGTGCAATTACTTTTTCACACAAGGGCATTTGGTGTTGCATAACTTTGTTTATGAAATAAGTATGTAATTGTGTTATTTGGTCACACAGGTTCCCTTTATTTAATATTACGTTTTGGTTGAAGATCTGATAACATTCAGTATAAAAAAATAAGCAAAAGAGGAGAACATTTGAAAGGGGGCA